AGAAAGCTGGGTAGGGGGATTCTAAGAAGGCCTTTGGAAATCTGTCCTTTGCAAAGGTGACAGCAGAGGAAGACATCATGTGACCCTAGAGGACTGCTAAGGGGACATGTGATGTGGAGGTCCAGAGGGAGCTTTCATTTCAACAATGGCTTAAGAACAATGAGTAGGGTCGGGCATGATAACTGGCTAATCCTTCACCTCTAAGCCCTTGGATCCCCTATGGGCACCGGTTCCTGTCCAGGCTGCCCCACTTCCTATCCAGCTACCTGCTTGCGCCCTGGGAAAGAAGTAGAGGACGGATCAAGCCTCTGGGATCCTGTACCCCCATGGGAGACCTGGAGGAGGCTTCTGGATTCTAGCTTAGGATCAGAACACAGCTTCAGCTGTTGCAGCCACTTGGAACAGATGGAAGATCTTGCTCTCAGTCTCTCTCTCTCTGTGTACATCTGCCTTTCCAATAAAAATAAATAGCTCCATTTGTGACTTGGGAAAGCAGCAGAGGATGGCCCAAGACCTTGGGACCCTACACCCATGTGGGAGACCCCGAAGAAGCTCCTGGCTCCTGGCTTCAGATCGGAGTTCAGCTCCAGCCGTTGCAGCCACTTGGGGAGTGAACCAGCGAACAGAAGATCTTTCTCTCTGTCTTCTCTTTGTAAATCTGAATTTCCAATATAAATGAATAAGTAAATAAATCTTTTTTTAAATAAAAGAAAATTTAAAAATTAAATCTTAAAAAGATTAGTGAGTAGTAATGGATGCCACAGCTTTGCCGTGAAAGTAGCCCTGACAATCCACAGGGGTGTATTCATTTGTAGCACACACTGAGGTCCACAATGAGAAAAAAAACTACCCTAAGGGCCCCTCCTAACTCCAGTATAAAACATAGGGAGGATTTTTGCTTAGATAATGATGACATTCACAAGAAGCACAGCAATTTAAAATTGATTGATTCCATGACTATATAAATAGATTATGGATTTTTAAAAAAATCTCAAGTATTGGCATTTGGCCCAGCTGAGTTGCTGCTTGCAACAAGGGCATCCCATATCAGAGTGTCTGGACTGAGCCCCAGCTGCTTCACTTCTGATCTCGTTTCCTGCTAATTCCCACTCCGGGAGACGATAAGAACTGGCTGAAGTGCACATGGAAGACCTGGATGGAGGTCCTGGCTCTTGGCTCCTACCTGGCCCAGCCCAGCTGTTGTTGGCGCTTAGAGAATGATTCAACTGGTGGAAGATCTCTGTCTCTGTCTTCTCTCTTTCTCCATTTCAAATAAAATACAAAAGAGATGAAGGAAAACCCTGTGAAAATGAATCAGCCCATCTAGTTCTACTCTCAATGTCCATGTCATCTACCATCATCACCACCCTGGCTTTTGGGATTCCATGTTTGTTTTTAAATGGATTTTATTTATATGAGAAGCAAAGTGACAGGGAGGGAGAGAGAGATCTTCCATCCACTGGTTCACTCCCCAGATGGCCACCTCAGCTGAGGCAAAGCAGGCCAAAACCAGGAGCCAGGAGCTTCATCTGGATGTCCCATGTGTGCAGGGTACCAAACACTTGAGATAGCTTCAGCTGTCTTCCCAAGCCATTAGTAGGGAGCTGGATAGGAAGCAGAACAGTTGGGATTTGAACCAGAAGATACTGGCACTCCAGGTAGCAGCTTTATTTGCTACACCACAGTGCTGGCTCCCACTCTGGCTTCTATATATAGTCAATTCTCCATCTCTCTGGGTTCCCTATTCTAGGAGTCAATTAGTTCTGGATCCAAATTATTTGAAAAAAAAATTGTGCCTGTCCTGATCATGTATATACTTCTTTTTCTTGTGTTATGCTCAAGCAATACAGTATCACAATGACTTCCATGGCATTTATATCAAGTATTAAAAGTCATCTAGTGGGGCCAGCCCTATGGCACAGGAAGTTAAGCCTCAGATCGCAGCATCTTATATGAACACCAGTTGAAGTCCTTGCTGTTCTACTTCCCATCCAGCTCCTTGCTAATGCACCTGGGAAAACAGTGAAAAATTACCCAAGTCCGTAGGCCTCTGCACCCATGTGGGAGACATGGATGAAGCTTCCAGCTCCTGGCTCTGGTCTGACCCAGTCTTAACCATTGTAGCCATTTAGGGGATTGAACCAGCAGATGGAAACTCTCTCTTCTCTCTGCCACTTCCTCTCTGTGATTTTGCCTTTCAAATAAATAAATAATTTAAAAAGAAGTTATTTAGAGATAGCTTAAGATATATGGGAAGATGTATGCAGGTTTAAGGCCACACTGTGTCATTTTATGTAGGGGGTTTGAGTGCTGTCGGATTTCGGTCCTGGGATAAGGGGTGGTCCTGGAATCACAGCTGTATTTTTTGCCTCCCATGCCACCCCCCCCCCCACAACAAGTGCTAACTGATAATTATTTTTTTAAAACAGATTTATTTATTTTTATTGCAAAGTCAGATATACAGAGAGAAGGAGAGACAGAGAGAAATATCTTCCGTCCAGTGACTTCACTCCCCACGTGAGTGCAATGGCCAGTACTGCGCCGATCCAAAGCCAGGAGCCAGGAGCTCTTCTGGGTCTCCCACGCTGGTGCAGGGTCCCAAGGCTCTGGGCCGTCCTCGACTGCTTTCCTAGGCCACAAGCAGGGAGTGGGACTGGAAGCCGGGCCTAGCTGAGAATTCTTACTCAAATAACTAACCCTTCCATTTCTTCATCTGTAAGAAGAAATCAAACATAGCAGTCATAGTTCCTGCCTCAGGCGTTGTTGTTAGGACTAAATGAGTTGGTATTTGCCAAGCACCAAGAGCAAGGGCCTGACATTTGGTGACAAGCTGTGGTTAGCATTGTGTCATATGATGGTTGTTATCTTTGTTCTCTCTTCCTTCTTCTTCCATTCCACTTTCTCGCTCTTCCCTCGCCTACCATCCTGAAGCCAGGAATTGTCTTGGGGCAACCAGAGGACTTAGAAAAGTCCTTGAAGAATGAAAGGAGAAGAAAAGTTGATTTTGATGCCTAAAAGTCTGAAATTCATTCATATAAGAGGTCTTCAGACTGTGGAAAAATACATGTGGTGAAAAAGCATGCACAGATTTCAACAATTTTCTTGCACCCAAGTAAACGATATCTTTGTTCTATTTTCCCATGAACCTTTGGAGGTACCCACACAACAGCCGTCCAGGGTGGCCTTCTCCATCAGCCCTTCTCAGGGGTGGGGAGGGTGCCACACAGGATCCTGTATGCAGTCACACAGACACTACAGTTAGCTCCAGGTTTTCCTGAACTCTTGATCTACCAGCTGCTCCTTCTCCCACTATCTCATTTCTGATTGTCCCAGTTTTCTGTCTCTAGTCTATACCAACAGCTTCTTGCTGCCTGGGTCCTCCTAAATAGCTCCTAAGCTATTTTCCTCCCTTCTTTGCTCATTTCTTTTCCCAGGGGCCTCTTTCATTGGCTAGGCCCCAGGGTCACCCACAGCCCAGCCAGAATCCTCCTTAGCTGTTAACTGTAATCGCCTACCAGTTGTATTCCCTTCTCCACTGCAGTCTCAGGGTCTTATTTAAGTTTGTCTCGGTGTTTTCATCTGTTTCCATCCAACAGTTCTTGGATTTCTGGTCTCTGCTTTGGTTGCCTGAGATTTCCTCCATCCTAGGTTCTTGGGACCAGCTCTCACTCAACATTTTCCCATGGCTTCCTGTTATCCAAATGGCTCTGACCAGATCCAAAGACGGACTCTGCCCAACAAGTGCTCCTTGACCAGGCTGCTTGGGGAATGGAGCCCGCTCTGTCCCTGCCTTCCAGAGTCACTCATTTAGGAGTGTGACAAAAGCTACAAGAAGCCCTGCCCTCAAGATTTGTCCCCCTGGTCCCTGGTCTGACGGGAACTAAAGCTTGGGAGCATCATGCCCTAAGGATTACTCTAGCAGCTTTCACCTTGCAAGGTCAAGTTCTCTTTCCTTAGCATGATACAAAAGGAAACCTTGCTTTTCCCCACTGGCCCACCACTTTCCACCTCCACCACAGATTATCTGCCATTTCCCTGTGGGGAGTTTTATACCTCTGGGGTTTGGCTTCTACTCACCGCAGAAAAGTGGCACTTTCTTTGCGAAGCCTTTCCTTCTCTTTAGTTTGGGTCCATGATTGCTTACACTGTGGCTGTTTGTAGACCCAATGAAATGATCAGTGCCTATGCTGGCAGGCTTGTTTCCATCTCTGTCTCCAACACAGCAGCCTGGGCCCTGGGAGGCACTCAGCGACTTCTGAGAACTAGTGAATGAGGATGTAAGAAAGAAGGAACAGGAGATCGCACATACGCCCAAAGGACGAGTCTGAAGCAGGCTTTCTCAACCCCAGCATCATTCCCATTCTGCACCAAGCAATTCTTGTGCCTCATGCATTGTAGGATGTCTGGCAGTAATTCTGATGTCTAAGCCATTGAAGCCAATAGCAATGGCCTCCCTCCCCACCCCAAGCTGTGACAGTCAAATGTTGACAAAGGTCCCCTGGGAAGCAAAACTGTCCCTGATGGAGACCACTGTTCTAGACATGGGTTACTCCAATTGTCTTCCTGGCTCTGGGCAGGTGGGCCTTCTTTCAGACATTGTAACTCATATTACTCTTATTCACAAGACGGTTATCCCCAAAACCTCCTTCTCAGCCCAAAGCTGAGGTCTTCTTCCTCTGAGGAGAGCAGGGCTGACTTCCGATGGGAGAGGGAGCAGCTGCCTGGGATGGTGATGCCAAAGCCAGAGGGTGAGCTTGTGTGGTGTCTGGGCTCTAGGGAGGCCCTGGTTCCAGACACCCTTGCTGCTTCCCTTGAGAAAAGATCCTGGGGATGCATGCCAAGTAGCGCTGCAGAGAGCTGCCTCCTGACCTGCACTTTCTGAGAAGTACATTCCCTCTGTGTACAGAAATCTCCATCTTCTGACTTCCTGTTCTCACGGGGGCTTGGGCACATGGGTTCCCTCCTGCAGCCACCTTCTTGCCCTTGCTCTGCCCATGCAGTCAGCGCCGAAGGGAGTCAGGCTTGTGCCAAAGGCTGCGAGCTCTGTTCGGAGGTCAACGGCTGTCTCAAGTGCTCACCCAAGCTCTTCATCCTGCTGGAACGGAACGACATCCGCCAGGTGGGCGTCTGCTTGCCATCCTGCCCACCTGGATACTTTGATGCCCGCAACCCCGACATGAACAAGTGCATCAGTGAGTATGGGTGGGCTTCGCTGGGGTTGGATGTGCCAGAGGCTCTGGGATGGGGAAGGGACCTCTAAACTGCTGGTGGCTGAGGAGAAGGGTAGAAAAGACACTACAGTCAGGAGGGGAAGTTCCCCGTGGAGTTTGCAGCTGCTGCTCAGATGGATCCCTGCACCTGCAACTCCAAGTTCCTGCATCTTCCAAGCACCACCTCACCCCTGCCCAGCTGCACCCCTTGCAGCTACACAGGTCACTCCCAACCTGGCATGCTGCGGACCTAGCAGCCAACATCTTGCTTGTACCACCCACATCCACCCAATCTCCATGTCCTGCTTGCCCCATCTCCTTTCTATGTTCCCTGCCAGTGTCCTGCCCAGCTTCCTGGCACACCTCTCCTGGACCACCGCCATAGCCCATGCACTTGGCCCCCAGCCCTCAGCGGATTCCCTTCAACACACCCTTGGCACCTCAGCCAAAACACAGCCCATCCCATCACACTTGACTTCATGCCAACTGCCCGGAGGTCCGAGTACGAACAGTCTGCTCTCTCTCTTCTCTCCCACTTCCGTTTCTACTTCTTTATCCCAGCTGTAGCTCCTGTGTCCCAAAGCCCACGTGGCCCATGTCTTCACCTCATCTCTGTTGCCGCAGCTGTGACAGCATGGAGGCTAGGCCACAAGTGTACGCTGGTGCACGGTGCCATTGCCCATCCACCCATGCAGTGTGGTGCGTGTCCAGATCTCAGCCCAGCGTAGCCACTTGACAGCCTTCAGCAACAGATAGGAGCAAGTGGATTGCCAAAGCTGATTACATTGAGGTCTGGAAGGGAAATGAATGCCTGAGCCAAGAGTAGTCAGTGGGGTTCTGATCTTGATTCTGCTGTGTATGCCGCATGTGTCGTGTGATAATGACCGTACTGCGGTCTCTTAATGCCTCATCTTTCCATGGGAGCATTAGATGTTGTGAGATACATGTGCTAGTGCCTGGCACTCAGTAAATGGTGGCTACTGCCATCCTTATTTCTGTTCTTTATAAAAAACGATTTATTTATTTATTTTATTTGAAAGAGTGGAGAGAGAGGGAGAGATCTTCCATCTGCTGGTTTACTCTCCAAATGACCACGGTGGCCAAAGCTGAGACTGTGCAAAGTGGGAGCCAGGAGCTTCTTCTGGGTCTCCCACATGAATGCAGTGGACTGAGGCCTTGTAACACCTTCTGCTGCTTTCCCTGGCCATTAGCAGGGAGCTGGATTGGAAGTGCAGCATCTGGGACTCAAACCAGTGCTCATATGGGATGTTGGCACTATAGGCTGAGATTTAGCCTGCTACACCACAGTACTGGCCCTCTTATTTTTTGTTCTTATTTTACTGGCAACCAAACCTAGGAATCAGAACACCAAGGAAAGAAAAGGGGAGAGACAGAAGGAGGGAAGTAAAGCCGAGACCATGTCACAGAGGCCAGATGGCACAGATGAGGGTTGGGGGTAAGGAACTTGGGAGGTTCCTGGGACCTGGGACCTGCCCTCTTGGTTGTAAGGGTGCTTTGGGCAGTGAGTTCCTGGCTGTGCCAACTCCTGGCAGACTGGCAGCTCAGGCAGCAGGTGTCAGAGCCTGGGAGGAAGACCCTGCCCACAATCTATGAAGGGAGAGGTTGTGAAAGACCCTGCTTGTTTCCAGCCAAGTCCTGGGCAAACCATCCTCCCCTGCTTCCTCAGAGGAGAGAATTGGCAGGAGGAAGGCAGGGAGGGACCCAGGAGCCCCACTAAGGTGCTTCCTGGGACCAGGCCCTGGACATAGAGAAGAATTTGCCCCAGGATGGCTTCCCTCCTTGCAGCAGACCCTCCATGCTGGGTGAGTGGGCAGGGGGAGGACTCAGAATTGAGGGAATTCAGGTGCCCAGTAAGGGGGCAAAGGATGCCATGCAGCTACTCTTTGGGGGCCATTCTGTCCTTCTGCCCCCGCTAGCAATAGGTGCCCAAGGTACTAATGACTCCTCTGCCACTCCCATAAGGCCCAAAGGGGTCCCACCTTCCTCCTCCAAAACCAACTCTCCTGGGCCTGCCCTTGGAGCCCAAGCCTAGGACCAACTTCAGACTAGGGGTGGATGGCCAGCAGCAGGAATATCCCCACACCCAGGCTGTCCCCAGAGAGACCCCTTCATCATCTCTGACCTTCCCTTGTCCCTCCACTCTCCCTGCTCCCAGACTCTTCTTGACCAAGGCCCTGTTCTCCATACCAGGCAGGGGGAGGGCACTAGGGCTGAGGGAGATGGGCATTGCAGGCTGGGCTGAAGGCTCCGTTCTGGTCCTCTCTGCAGAATGCAAGATTGAACACTGCGAGGCCTGCTTCAGCCATAACTTCTGCACCAAATGTCGGGAGGGCTTGTACCTGCACAAGGGCCGCTGCTACTCAGCCTGTCCCGAGGGCTCCACAGCTTCCAATGGCACCCTGGAGTGCAGCAGTCCTGGTGAGCAGCTGCGGGCACTGGGGCAGAGGGATGGCTATGGGAAGGAGCCAAGGGAGCATGGCCAGGGGTGCTGTGCAGGCAAAGACCCTTAGCTGCCTTCTCTTCAAGGTCCTGCCTACCCTGGGGCACTGTGGGCTGGGAAGGAGATCTGACCCCCTGCCCTTCTTCCTTTCCATCCCTTCTCTTGCCACCAGCACAATGTGAAATGAGTGAGTGGTCGCCATGGGGACCATGCTCCAAGAAGAAGAAGCTTTGTGGCTTCCGGCGGGGCTCCGAGGAGCGGACACGCAGGGTGCTGTTGGCCCCTGCAGGGGACCACACGACCTGCTCTGACACCAAGGAGACCCGCAAGTGCACAGTGCGGAGAACGCCATGTCCTGAGGGTGAGCTGCCGCTGCTGCCTCCCTGAGATTGGGGCTCAGGTCCAGGCACAGAGAGATTTTCACCCGAGGTACTATATCCTAGCCAGGAACAATACTCCTGGGCCTGTACAGGGGGAGTCGGAAGCATGTGTGGCCGCTTTCCCTCCAGCCTCCCCATTTCCTCTCAGTTGCAGTGGTTTGTGCTGGAAGGACACTCGGAAGTCAGATGGGGGGGTGAGGGAAAGGGGCACAGTGACCCAAAAAGGTGCAGGATCTCAGCCAAGGTCATGCAGCCTGCCCCAGAGGTACACAAGGGGTGCAAGTGGGGGAACCCCAAGAGCTGCACTGAATACCTGGGAAGGGCTTTAACCCTGAGGATCCAAAGTGTGCAGGAGGCATGAGAAAGAGGAGAGCATCTGCTGTGTCTTGAGAAGTGGAGAGTGGAAAGATTAATGGAAGCTCTCTGGGTGTCCAGGCTGCAGGGCGCCCAAGTATAGGAAACCCAGGCTCAGGGTACCCAAGCTGTAGGGCACGCAGGCTATAGGGTACCCAGGCTGTAGGGTGCCCAGGCTGCAGGGCCCTCTGGAGTGGCTGGTGCTTAGTGGTAGCCTGGAGCCGACCCAGTGTCCAGACCTCCTTCCTGCCCCCTCCCCGACCCAACTTCTGTGGCACTCCCGTCTCAGGGCCTCAGCCCTGCCCACGTGCTGCTGGCACACTTGGTGATTCTTCCCACTGTTGGGGTCATTGCAGGGCAAAAGAAGAAGAAGGGAGGCCAAGGTCGGCGTGAGAACACCAACCGGAACCTGGCCCGGAAGGACAGCAAGGAGATAGGTACTGGCTCTCGGAAGCGCAAGGGGCAGCAGCAGCAGCCAGGCACAGCCGGGCCACTCACATCCGCAGGGCCCACCTAGGCTCAGGCTCCAGACGCCAGGCTCATCCAAAAGAGTTCTGTGTGATGAACTGGAATGTTGGGGGTAATGGACACACATACCCTAACCATCCATGCAGACACAGACAGACACTCAAACCCTTGGCCCCTTAGGCAGCCAACCAACACACACACACACACACATACACACACACACACACACACACACACACACACACGAGGCCATCAGAAGATTCTGGTGGACCTCCTGGTCTCAGCAGAACACATCGGCTTGCGATGCTCACAGTGGACATGGCACCAAGAATGTTCTGGAATCTAAGCCCAACCTTGCAGCATGGAGCCTTCTGGAAGGACTTCTGGGATTGGATTGGCCAGGAGTGGCTGCATGAGCCCAAGTGGAGGCTTTCCGGGAACCTGGGGCAGAAGCTTCTTGCTGCCCTCTCAGGCACTCCCAGCCGTGTGACTTTATCATTGGAGAGAATTTCAACAGTCGTGATATGTATCAGGGGCTGACCTGATTCTGAAAACTGCTTAAAGGTTTATTTCAAATTAAAAAGAAGTCGACAACAACAATGCCAGCTGTGGCTCTTACTGCCATATTCCTTTCCAGGGTGTGAGAGTTGGTGGGACGTGGCACGGGGGGAGGGTGGCAAGAAGGGACGAGGGTCACATTTCCAGGGATCCCATTTGGCCACAGGATCCCACAGGGCCACAGGCTAGCAGAGGGCTAACCTGAGTGGGGAAGCCAGGGTCTTGCAGGGTCACATGGAGAATGTGGTTTGTGGTTAAGCAATGATGGCATCACCAGGCAGCTTGCTAGGCGTGATGATTGCAAGCACCATCCAGATCTGATAACCAGGACCTGAATTTAAAAAAAAAAAAAAAATTTTTTTTTAAAGATTTATCTATTTTCATTGGAAAGTCAGATATACAGAGAGGAGCAGAGACAGAGAGGAAGATCTGCCATCTGCTGATTCACTCCTCAAATGGCTACAATGGCTGGAGCTGAGCCCATCCGAAGCCAGGAGCCCAGAGCCTCTTCCGGGTCTTCCATGTGGGTGCAGGGTCCCGAGGCTTTGGGCTGTCCTCCATTGCTTTCCAAGGTGACAAGCAAGGAGCTGGATGGGAAGCGGGGCTGCCGAGACATGAACAAGGGCCCATATGAGATCCCAGCGTGTTCTAGGCGAGGTCTTTAGCCACTACGTTACTGCACCAGGCCCCTTGAAAACAGTTTAAGATTTATTTATTCTACTTGTAAGTCAGAATTACAGAGTCAGGGAGAGAAAAACTTTTCATATATTGGTTCACTCCCTAATGTCCACCACGGCCAGAGCTGCGCCAGTCAGAAGCTGAGAGCCAGGAGCTTCTTCTGGGTCTCCCTTGTGGGTACAGGGACTCAGTAACTTAGATCATTTTGTGCTGCTTCTGCCAGAAACATTAGGGAACTGCATGGGAAGTGGAGAAGTTGACTCTCAAATGGATGTCCCTACGGGATGCTGGCACTAGAGACAAACAACCTACTACATCACCATGCTAGTTCCAAGGACTGCTCTTTCATATTTTTAAGATTTGTTTATTTTTATTGCAAGATTTACAGAGAGAAAGAGAGACAGAGGAATCTTCCATCTGCTGGTTCACTCCCCAAGCAGCCACAATGGCTGGAGCTGAGCCAATTTAAAACTAGAAGTCAGGAGCTTCCTCTGGGTTTCACAGGCAGTTGCAGGGTAGCATGGGCCATCCTCTGCTACTTTCCTAGGCCACAAGCAGAGATGGGAAGTGGAGCAGCACGACAAAAACTAGTGTCCATATGGATTCCTGGTATTTGCCAAAGGAGGATTAGCCAATTGAGCCACATTCTGGGCCCACAGAGCCTGCATTTTAACCAGATTGCGGCTTGCTGCTGCTGGCTTATTGATGTTGGGGAGCCTGATGAGCAATACTTTGTCCTAAGGACGAAATCAAAGGTCTCAGATAGCTTGCAGCAGGACAAATGCTGGTCAGCTGGGAAGGGGGACTTCCCATTCGAGGGAGCCAGAATCCACAGCTGAGGGCTCCCCGGATCTGTTTGAAAAGGGAGTGTGTGTGCTTTCTGAGATATAGCAGGACAGTTCTGCCAAGGCAGCAAGCTATGTGCCCGGCTCTGGCCTAGGCATTCGGTTTGCAGGCTGAGGAGCCAGCCAGCCATGCAGGTTTGATAGCGGAATGAGGCAGGTGCTGATCGAGGAGGTGCAACACAAAATTGCAAATGGACAGAATCAAGGGCAGACCAGTGCTGACCCATGTTGGTAGGTATGAAAATGAAGGTACTTGGGCCCAGCAGCATGGCCTAGCAGCTAAAGTCCACGCGTTGAACGTGCCAGGACCCCATGTGGGCGCCAGTTCTAATCCCAGCAGCTCCACTTCCCATCCATCTCCCTGCTTGTGGCCTGGGAAGGCAGCTGAGGATGGCCCTAAGCTTTGGGATCCTGCACCCATGTGGGAGACCTGGAGGAAGTTCCTGGCTCCTGGCTCCAGATGGGCGCAGCACCGGCCTTTACGGTCATTTGGGGAGTGAATCGCCGGACGGAAGATCTTCCTCTCTGTCTCTCCTCCTTTCAGTATATCTGACTTTGTAATAAAAATAAATAAATCTTCAAAAGAAAAGAAAATGAAGGTACTGGAGTAAAAATAGAATCCCATTGTCTCAGAGAAGCTTCTCAGAAGAGGCAGTGTCTGAGCCCAGCTTGCAGGATGCCTTGAGCGATTGAAAGACTGCAGGAATTGCCTTTCAGACCAGCATTTTCCAGAAGAAATCTGTGAGCCCCAGATCTCATCTAAAAATCTCCTCAGCCACAGTTTAAAACCCAACCATACTTTTTAAACATACGATTGCTCTAAAAATTATTTTTTACATTTTCAAAAACTAAGTCTTCAGCCTTTTGAATGTATTCTTGCATTTAGAGTATATCTTAATTTGGATATTGATTTTTCAACTAAAATACTTGATCTGTGCTTAGATTTTGTGAAAATTAAAGTTGAACAAGAACTGCCCACCCAAGGTGCTTCAAGAATACTCGAGTTTTCCAATAACCAAATTGTACATATTTTTAAAATATAAATTTAATAAACTAAAAAGCAACTAGTATTAACAATCCAGTCCTTCGGGAGTATGAGGTACATTTCTTTTTTCATTAATTTTTAAATTTTTGGTGATGATTACAACATTGTTGACCAGGATGGGAAGGATCTAGGGTTAGGGAAAAGTGGGTGAAATAATTGTTTCCAAGTTCTCTATTTCTTCTTGTCTCTGGGGGAAGAGGAAAGTTAAAGAGAGAAGCCATACCCAGCCTCCCAAATGTCGCAGTACCCAGGGATGGGGAACCACCACCCATTATCAACCCAGGGTCCCAATGCAGTGCGTGTTCTGAGGGTTCTGCCCAAGTGGTTTGGATAGTTCCAAAATACCATCAATTTCGCCGATCCAAGAGTGAGGCTGTCTTCCCAATGTTCATTGGGTGACATATTTGACCTCAATTCTCCATTCACCCAGATCTTTGCTGTCATTGTTTGGCTGGGACAGTTGTCAAATGTGTTCAGTTCTGTTGCTATGGTACCCAATGAGCTGCCATATTCTCCATGTGCATCCACTGCTCCATCTTTTTCACTCATAGGTGGGCCCAAGGACCTGGACCAGCTGAGCTGAGCCCCGCCAGGTCCCCTGCCACAGGGGATCACGAACCCACCCTCCCCCCGCCCCCCGCCACAGGCAGGCCCAAGAACCCAGGCCAAGCCACCCAAGCCCCACCAGATCCACCGCTCTTGGGGAGAGCCACATTTCAAGTGCTTATCCAGTAGAGTAGCCACCAGCTTATAATCTGAGTGCTCAAGAGAGGTAAAGAGGGAGCATTCTCTTCCTACTGACTCCGCAAGTGCTTGTGATGAGTGAGGCTGAAGGTCACCCATACAGGTGGCAGGAACACAATCACTCGGGCCTCCCCACTGCCTCCCAGAGTCTGCCTTAGCGGGAGGGTGGAGTCGTGAATCAGAAGTGGATGTCAAACCCAGGCACTGTGATATGTGATGGAGGCATCCCAACCACCATTTCAGATACCTGCCCTAAAAGGGCATAGTTCTAGATAGAGGGCCTCGCATCTCCAAATGTCCTGAGAGTGCCTTAGTATTCAAGGAACTGAGAGCAAGTCAGTGCAGCTGCAAGGCCTGCAGGGTAAGCCAAGTGACAGGATTCTAGAAAGGTCATCTGGAGTTGGGCCCTTACTCTCAGAGCCAAGAGAGGCTACTAGAGGGTTGGACGTAATGGGACTATAACCAGACTTTTTTTTTTTTTTTTTTTTACAAAAGCCATGTTTCCCTGCAGTGTGGAAAACAGCTGAAAAGGGGCTGCCTAGGAGGCTGTTGCTGTTAGCCAGGAGGGAGATGTTGGAGGCTTGGACTGGGCTGGGCAGTAGAAACTGGCATGGAGAAGATGATCAAGGCTGTGGGTTTGGAGTAAGGCAACGCAAGGGAGCACTGGGTACAGGCACTCTTGGTACTCAGCTCTGTGGCTCTTGACCGAGAAAGCTGAACCAGGGTGGATCAGTAGGCCTGGGAGCCTGAGGGTGGAGCAGACCCCAGGGCAGCAGGAGGGAGCCAACCTCATGTTCAGTGTGGCTCTGAACATGCCTTCCACCAGCCCAGCCAAGTCATTGTCATCTGGAACCGCAGGTCACACCTCGCTTTGCAGGTGACTCCTATACCTGTGCCAGCACCTGCAACTATAAGGGCACAGCTGCAGCTCCTGGCAGAAGGGCTGCTGTTCCTGCTGCCCTGCGGGCTATGCCAAGGGTGCACACAGGATTGCATCTGCTGAAGAGCATAGGAGCAGCGTCCATGGAGCCCAGCTCCCAGCATCAACAGAGTGCAGTGCAGAAACCTGGCTTTCCTTCTCACGGGAGCCTCAGTTGCCACATTCCTTTCTCTGTGACAAGTGTAAATGACAATAAACCCATTCAGACTTGAAAGAGAGAGATAGGAATGTGGGTCTGC